CTCTGCAGACCCTCGTGCTTCTCTGCCAGATCTGATCCTATTTGCTCTCTGCTTTGCTTTCTGACAAAGGTGTGACAAGAAAATGTGTTTTTGTTCTGAACTGCATAAAATATCACACAGCAATATGACCAGCAAATAAAACATCAGAGTATCCCATTAACAGTGCTCTTGCCCCTGAGTATATAACAAAAAGTTAAGGAGGAAGATAGCTACTGAGTGTAAAAACAATTTCCATCTGCAAATCCGGAGAGGGTTTCTCAACTCTCCAGACTTCAGAGCCATACAGATGTGGTCAGCCTCCAGATTGCACTTTACTTCCCAGCCCAGGGGTGTCATCAAAGGACATGAGTCTTGCATCACTTCCTCTGGGTGTGGGAGCAATCACTGTAGGCAACAAATTATCCTAACTCCAGCTGTAACTTCACAGGTTAAGGGGAAACTTCTTCTTGCAACCTCTTTTTCCTGTTAGGGGAGTGCTGCTCTGGATAGCTGCGGTTTGTCCAGTTGCAGGGTTAAGGGCAAGGATGCAAGAAACAAGATCAAAGAGTAGGAGGAAAAGGAGGAAGAAGAGAAGATGATGGTGATGATGATAAAGAAGATGACCCTAGAAAACTCCAGTCAACCAACAACCAAAAAATACTTCTTTAGCCTGTCACAAAAAAAATGAGGCTTAAATAAATATAGATTTTTGTAATGGGAATTCTAGCCAAGGCTTATGGTGAGGGGTGCTCTGGAGTATGCCACTGGTAATGTACATAGTGGATTGGTACAAAACTGCCCAAGTGGGAGTTGTTCCATCTTCTAATAAGTATTTTTAAATGAAACAATGGTGGCTCTTGCAGGAGAGGGGGGAAATCCTTCCAAGTTCTGCATCCCTGGGGCAGTGAGAACAGGAGCAGCTTAGCAGGGCGATGTTGGGGGCAGACATTCGTTATCCCAGGCTTTATCGAGAGACTGAAGACAGTGATGCAGGTAAGGCTCAACCCAGCCCACTGTCGGGAGTTTCTCTAGTGGCTTCTCATAGGACCAGCTGCAGAGAGCAGGGAAGAGGACTGCAGTGGGGTGGAAGGTCCTGCAAGCTGTTTGGAGGGGAGGGGATTCAGTACCTGTCAGGACTGGGCCCCTGAAGCCCCCCTCCTTCCAATGAAATAAAAAGTGAATGTAGGAAACACATGAACGGGTTAGAACCAAGATGAGAGCTGTGTAGAGCAGTCCCTGAAATAGCAATAATTTTCCTAAGGGAGGATAATCGCACGGTGGTTGAGGAGCTGCGTTCAGGCCCTAGTTCTCAGGCACTCTCGCCTTTGGCAGCATTCAGACCCAAATGCACAATTTATAGGTGGTTCCTTTTGTTCTTAATGGACTGAACCGAAACCTCCTGTGCTTGAGGAGGTTCCCCAGACCTGAACTTTGCTGCTGGCCCCTAAGTCTACAACGTGCAAGATCACATCTCATGAAACGGACTCTGCTACTTCATAGAACCAGCTCTGGTTTGACATATTCCCTGTAAACCGTGTGAAACTCGCTGAAATTCACACTGCAATCATTTTGGTCTTCTACAACTCTCTACTGCTGCTTGTCCTTTGATGCAGATCTGGGGCAATCCGTTGGGTGTCAAGATTATGAATGGTGAAGCCAGAGGGATTATTGTGTTCATTTTAGTCTGCCCTCCCATGTGCCACATGCCACAGGTTTTACATGAAATTCATTTTGGCTTCAACTACAGCAAGTCTTTTAGAAAAACACTCAGTGTTGAACTAAAAGTTGCCAGTGATGGAGAATCCATCACCACCTGTGGGAAATTGTTTCAATGGTGAATTACTCTCACTGTTAAAAAATTGCACTTTATTTCTAATCTGAATTTGTCTGAATTCCATTATATCATATTATATCTCTGTCTGCTGGAATGAAGAGGTCATCATTGAAATTTTGTGCCTTGTGTAAGTCCTTATAGATTGTGATCTAATCATGCCTTCACCTTCTTTTTGATAAGCTAAATGGATTGCAATGTGTATAGAAATGAGAATCATAAAAGTGCTTTGACTTGAAGTTGCCAGGACTTGGGAACTTCTCTGGGTCATATGGTGACCGAGTGTAGGTAAAACGTGATCTGCTACTAATTTCATGAAAAGCAGCTTCAAAAAGCAGTTAGAAATCTAGTCTGACCTGTAGAACTCACAAGCAGGCAAGATATACCTGCCCTTCAGGATTTTTCCTTGTGTTTGTAGACACTTTTTGTCTTGTGGCTTTGAGAAGAAAAGGAAGACATCAGAGTGTACGCTTGAACTCAATGAAGAATTTAAGAATTGACCCTGGATTAGGAAGACATTTGGAAATAAGAGAGGGAAACTGAGTCCAGAGATGAAACATGCAGCTTACAAAACCAGAAACCTGCCAGAAATATTATTTACCTTTTACCTGCAGTCACATCTTAATGATTAAAAACATGATCCTCAGTTGCTCTTGTATATTTGGCTGTAGAAGCTGTCCTGTTTTAGAGCACTGACTTATTGAAATTGGCATGTAAGTGGGGAGGCACATAGGAAGAGTCTGCTTCTGATATTTCTCATGTCCTGTCTCTGGAAGGCCCTTTCAAGTAAAACCATAAATTAAAGACCAGTTTGTCCCATGCACACAAAGAGGGGCTGCTGCTCCCAAGATACAGTCTGAAAGAGGGGTGTGCACTGCTACACCCACTCTGGATCCACTCCTTATGACACCTTTTCTGCATCTCTTCATTCACCAAGGTCACTGTTCTTTGCTTCTATATTTGGCCCAGACTTCAGAAGTCCAGGTTGTGACTTAGCTCATTTTTCCTTCTAAAGGCTTATTTGTCTTGTACCCTCGCTGATAAAGTGTTACCTAAACATACTGCAAATCTAATTCAATGTTTATTACAGCTCTGTGGTTGATGCGTCTGCCAACACAGCCCACTGACCAAAATGGGAAAATAAGAGCACATGCCAATGAAGTTCAGGTTAGCTGTAACACTTATTAGAGAAAGGCATGGCTGTAAGCTCGGTCTCTGTTTACTCACCTTCAAAGCTAAAAATGTCTAGCCTGTCTTATAGGAACAACAGCCACTGTGCAGGGGAATAACTAGACTTCAAAGAGTCTAGATGGGAACTCCCAGTCTTCAGGGCTGCCTTTTGTTGTCTCCTAAGGACCTGTGCAACAGGACAAGCTGGCTGAACTAACCCTATCTCTGTTTAGGACTCGTGCGCTCAGGCTTCCTCAGCAGGTGGGCTCTGCCCATCGCGTCCATCAAGAGGGTCTATTGCCTATGGTAGATTGAGGAAATTGTAGCCCTCCTTCTCTGAGATCAGTATTATGCCACGTGATTGATAAAAGTTGAAAATGTGCGATTTATACATATAAGTGCAAAAGGCAGGGCTGACTTCCCAGTGAATCTCTGGAAGTACAGATATCAGGGAAATTAGACTAAGAGATGAGACTTGAGACTAGAACAGAACTATAAAGCCGTTTGTTCAAACTGTCTATGAACCAATGGCCACAAACTATAGACTGCTGAAGAAACTATAAGAGTGATATACTCATCTCAGCTTTCTCAACCTTAAAGAGACACAGAGAAGTATGTCCTGTGTTTGCCCGCTCCATCTCTGTTGCATTTCCATGGCATTTGAAGAGAGACAGAATTCAAGACATGTTGGCCATGATGGGGTCTCAGTGGGATCTGTTGTTTGGGGACTTGCACCCAGTTTATGTTTGGTGGGCAGAAAGCAAGCAGTGAGGCAGCATAGCTGTACACAAGCACTTTGTGAGCTGCAGGCTGAATTCCTGCCAAATGCCTCAGCACTGTCTGCTGTATGGATGAGTAACACTACTTGGAAATCATTTCCATAACATATTGTCCTTACATGACTGCCACAGGTAGCTGTGCCACATGAGGCGAGAGAGAGAGCACCCCATAAATGGATTTATACAGGGTCCCAGTTTCATGCCCAGCTAGGAGCCAGGGGAAAGCCCACCACATATCCAGCCCATAGAAGTCAGTATGCGCCAGTCTAAGCTAGGCTACCTCTGCAGTGGGTGCCATACCCAAGAAGAGGCCTGCTGAGATAGGAGGGGAGGTGCAGCCACAATGTTTTGCCCTCCAGCTGTTCTCCACTTCAGGGGACCCCCCAGTAGCTGTGAGAAGCAAACCCACATTGGACTGGGCCTATGACCTACATGGACTCTGGGATCAGGCCAGAATCCTGAAATGAATTTTTATGCCCTGGCCCTTTCTGGGTTGCATCTCTAGCTGTTTAATTAGGTTATTTACAGGGGAAGGTGGACAGAGAGATTGGGGGAGGGCTTAACACATTGGAGCAATTATTCCTAACCTGCCCACTCATTGCTCACTGGTCTCTGGCCCAATGTGACATCTTTTTTAAGAGCTTGGGATGAGAAACATTCCCTGAGAGGCAGTAAAAAAGGGAGACTGCACACTCATCAAGTTAGTTTGGGTGATGTTTCATTGCGTGTGCCACCGTACCATCTCCAGCTCACCCACAGGCACTGTCCTGCCATGATGAAGCATTCCTCTTATTCAGCGCTGGGTTTCAATGACATTGCCTTGCCAAATACGATCTGGCTTCTATTAATGTTGTAATGCTTTTTTTTTTCTCATTCAGATCATGCAGACCCCAAACTGAATCACATTCCGGTCCATTGGCAGCTTCCTGTGAATTGCAGACTGTCCGATATTAATCATGTTAGTGTAAACAACGAGCTTGGAGCCAATACCTTGGGCTCCATCACCTCGAGGAGCCCTTCGCTATCTGCGAATGAACCTGCACCTGCAAAACCAGCTCCTCGCATTCAAACCTTGTCACTGTGTGGTACCCACATAGAGGCAGAGGTGAGAGAAATCTCATTGTTTGGATAAAAAAGCCTGAGTCAAATTCCTTCCTCCTTGTGAGATTAGTTTCCACCAGGAATAGTCTGAGCCTTGAAGCTGGCTGCGTAGAGGCCTTAGGCTTTTCTCTGCTGGATACCCCTCACTAGCAGCCAACTGGCAGGACTTCTTCCAGTCTCTGTCCTTTAAAGTGGTGATGCTGTAGCTGCCTAGAATGACGGTGTATTTGAGCCTGAGAAATATCAGTGTCTGAATCCAGCCATGAAGATATGGGGGTGGGGAGCGGTGTTCTTCATCAATCCTGGCAATAGTCATGTAATGAATGTTGGACACCTTCTCTGAAAGAGAGCTTTCTGTGTCATAGGCTTTTCTTGGAAGCTTTGGCTGGAGAGAAGAGGGGGAGTTTGTTTAGTTTGCATGAAAATGGGGACAAAGAGGATTTGATTGTTCTTTTGGTGGCAGCATAAAAGAAACTGCCACTCCTTTGTCAAACTGAAAATACAGCTGACCTGCCTGATAACTAGAGACTTTTAATTCTGTGCTGAATTTAAGGTGCCAAGTTAGGTTTCCCCATCCTGACCTGGCTGGGTCTATTTTACTTTTCGGTCACTGGATACGCACGTGGTTGTTTAAATGGTTCCCAATGGTTTGATTAATACAGTAATACGCCCCCTCCGCAGAGTCCTTTCTTCACTTCTGACAACCATTCTTCTAGCTAATAACTTGTTTTCTCACATTTTCTAAAAGCAACTCACTTAGACAAAAATAATGCTGAACTTGTAAAGACATCATTGTGAATATCAATGAAGGTTTTCTTTTCCTTCTGCTCCAAATTCCTCCTGAGAGCTGAAAGTAAATACAGTCAGCTGTAGCTAACACAGAAACTAACGGGGGAGGTATATTTGTCTGAAGCTGCCTATTAGACACAGCTCATGCTACAAACTTCAGATCTGGAGCTAAATGTCTGCAAGTTAGACATGGATTGAAGCTGAGATTTTTTGCATCATCATGTATCTGGTCTATTTTCTTATCTGCTCCTATGGAAAAATTCTATAGAATTTAATACAATGAAAATGTGTTTATACAATTTGTTTTACACCAAACTGTGGAATTACCATCACTAACGTTTCTAAAAATTCTGGGTGGTGATTGTCAAGCGCAAAAGGTATTGCACCCATCATGAAGTAACTCTTTTTCTGGATCCCCTTTTGATGGATGGAGACAAAATTAATAATTGGCTGCCTAGGGAGCAGGGATCCTGACCTCATTACATTCAATCTGGGTAAATAGGGCACAGGCCCAACCAATGTTTCAAAAGGGGTATTCATAATTTCCAATGATGAGGAAAATGATGGGCAAACTGATTGGAAGGAGAGTTGCAGACAGGAAAATGTAAATGAAATATGGGAGTTCTTTAGGAAGTGTTTAGTAGGTGGCCAGAGCACCATAATTCCTCAGTCAAGAAACAAGACAATTCTGGCTAGTTCAGAGGCAAAGGGAAAGCAATAATTAGATATAAAAACGGGGTGAATATTAAGCAGTATGTAAATTAAAGCTAGAAGTAGAGAATGTTAAAAGTTATGAAGTTCAGAGAATTCATAAGGGAAGGTAAAGACAGTGGAGGTACGGATGATATTTTTAAAACTATATTAGGAACAAAAGAAATCTTAGCAATAGTGTGGACCCACCTGGAGCTGGAGACAATTACATTGCTTATGTCACAGAAAAGACAGAAATATTCAATGCCTATTTATATTACACAGAAGCAGGATGATGCACCTGTATCATAAGAGGAAGTTGAAGTGCTTTCCAGTCCATTAGTTAACTGAGGAGGATGTTAGACAAAATCTACTAGGAATAATGACCCTATATTTAAATCAGCATGCCTTGATACCTTACACCCGGAGTTGTAAATGGAGTTGGCTGAGGAGCTCTCTGGCCTACTGATACATTTTCATCAATCTTGGGATATCCAAGGAGACTGGAAGAATGCGAATGTTGTATCGATGTTCAGAAAGGACAAGTAGAAAAAATCTAGCATCATTCACCTTCCAGCAACATTGAACTGAGACTGCAGTGGCAGTCCCATTCCTGCTTGCCTTCTTCCACAATGTGTCTACTCTAGCCAAGAGTGCAGTACTATGAATGAGGGGAACACTCCTTCCTGCCCTCTTGGGTGATCATTTAGTAACTGGAAGCAGGAGTTTGGTTAATCTCTTCCTTGGTTTGTGCGAATGAGGAACATGAAGGTAGTGTAATGATTTATACTGTTATGCGGAGTGTGCTATTCCAGTGGACAGATATCTCTCTTTGACTAACAGTCCAACTCTCTCCACAGCTCACCCACAATTTTCTGTCTAAAGATAGTGAAGTCTCAGAGATGTATTCACGTGGATTCACTCTTAGTCCCATTTCCTGATGTATAATTTATATTTACATATTTCCTCTGAACTTGCTCACTTGATTCCCCTCTATGGACTTTAGTCTCCAGAAAGGGAGGGTTATGCAAAGCACTGAATTAAGTTCTGAATTAAACTCTTGTCTTCAGTAGAGATGAATTGGGCTTTCCTTACAATGCCCCAGATTTAGCTTGGCTAAAAGCTACATCTTAATCAGTTCTAAGTCAGATACTCTTGCAGCCAAAGTTTAGCAAATGAAACTCATTGAATATAAAGTCTCATCAACAGGTGGCAAAAAATTATGAGGCAGCAGGATGGCAACCCAGTACTCACGGGCTTTAGAAAGTTGAAGCCTCTTCAGATTTGCAACAGAAAGGAGAAATAAAGGGAGAAGACAAAAATGTAGTAGCTAACTTGGAACCTGAAATATGGTCTTTAAGAGTTTGGCTCTAGAGGTGGCTCCAGACCAGACTTTTTTCTAACTCTTAGAATTTCAGAAATAGTGATCCAGTTCCCCTAGGGCACCTGCATTTTCCCCATTACAAAGATGGAAGAAACCCAAGATTTTTGTCCTAGGGAGGAGCTGATAAAATGGGGTCTTGAGCTCAATTAGCTTCACCAAACCACAGCTTCTTTGGTTCTTTTTGTCAAAACTAGGAGCCAATTTTAAATCTGCTTCATGCAGAATTTACAAGGCAGGAAGTCATTTTTAGATTTTGACCTACATTTCCAAAGCATCTCATTTGATGGGAAGATTGCCTGATAATCTCCCTTTTTAGAGAGCCTTGCTGCTTACTGTTAAAGTTTTCTTACACATTAAAATCCCTGGGCTTACCTCTTGCACATATGTAACTTTAGCCCTAAGTATTGTACCCTATGGTGAATTGCTGGGGGGGGAGTAAAGCCAAGACTAACGCCACTTCTTCTTTGAAACCTGCCCTCTCTCCTTGAACCAGCAAAAATGGGCAGGACTTCAGCTTCTCATTTAATCTGATAATCACTTCAAGTCTTGCTCTCCTTAAGGTGGGCTTGGTTCAGTTTCCACAGCCCATTTTGTTCTTTGTTCCTCTGGTGTGACTGCAATGCAAGCTTCAGCTGAAGTATTGGACTCCTTTCCATTAGGATCAGGACAGAGACCACAGAGGACTGTGTCTGTGTCACCATATCGGTTTCTCTCCCTAGGATGGCTGGCTGTATTATTCTTTCCCCTCCTGCACATACTGTCTGGTTCAGTCCTCCACCAAGCAACCTTCAGCTGATAGCAGACTTCAGTCTGTCACCTTGAGATCCAAGGGCTTGCCTGCTCACTGCACTTATTTTGGAATAGCTATTGTGCTTTTAATTCACACCCTTGCTTAATTCACATTAACACTAACAGTCAAGCGTAGACAAGCTCTGCGTTCCTGTGTGGCAATACACAGTTTGGAAACAAGGATGGGAGTGTTAATATGACTGCAAGGTATTCAGCTCACTCCAGGCGGGTGCTGTGCACCTGTAGTTCCCGCTGACATGCAGGGGAGATGAAGGCGCTTGTTCCTTCTCAGCATTTGTCCTACTGGTTGCTAAGAGACTCTGCACTGCTAGGCAGTTTTGGAAGGCCTGTACTTGCTGTGTAGCAGAGTGCGACCCAGATGGGGTTGGTGCCGCAGGTGGGGAGTCTGCCTGTGTAATTACAGGCAGCAGGTGATGTAGCTTTAGCCAGATAAACAGAGATTTCTGTGGTCTGCATAGTTTTCCCCCTGGAAGGCATCAGTTGAGAAGAACATCTGAACAGCGGAGGCTAACATCTGACCACGCAGGTCACGAGTGGAGCACCAGCCTTTGCAAACAGGGTAGAAGAATGCTCTTCTGCTTATATAAACACTGGTGACAGCTTATCAGTATCTTTGCTGTCATGTGCTGCATTTATGGGCATAAAGACTAGCCACAGGATTGTGGGTTTCCTCCTTTTCCACCTCCTACCGCCTTATTATATTGCAATTCAAATTGCATGACTCAGCTTCAGTGAAAGCTTTTCCTTGGCACAGTTCCTTGGCTGGATTTATTCACTAGACAGCACTTGCACAGTCTGTTTTACAGGCAGAGCAGGTAACAACACCTACATGGAAGATACAGTCGCCCAACACTTACCCTTAAAAACCTTATTTTCAATTATTTATACCTTGGGAAATGTTTGCCACTCAGGCAAACTTTTTCTCTGCCAGCTCTTGAATGTTCTTTTAAATACATCTACTCTCCGAATGGTTGGGGGTCCCTGAGCGGGGACCTGTGTGGTGGCGTCGCTGGGGCAGGTCTCTCTGCTGAGGGGTCTTGGGGGGCCCGTCCAGTGGGGTTGCCGGTGGGGTGGCTGGTCTGGCGGGCCTTCGCACCACGGCCTGGTTCTGGCAGGCTGGGGTGTCGGACCTCACCAATGTATCAGGTCTCTCCTTGGCCTTCTCATCCCTTTTGGTGGTTCTTCAGGAGCTTCAGGGCCTCAAACTCGGTGCCAGAGAGGACACAGTAGAAAGCTAGGCACAGCTGGTGGAAGCACTGTAGGTGTTTATGCAGGTAATTGTGCGACCTGTACTGCCTTGGTGGGTGGCAGGTCGGGCAGAGCAGCTTCCCAGGTTGGGGGAAGGGGAGGAACATGAGTGTTGCCGTGTCTGCACACTCGCCTGGGTCATCTGTCGTGGGGGTCTGGTGTCGGGGGGTCCAGGGCTCCTCCACCAGGGTGGGGAGGTCCTTCGGAGGGTCCTCCTCAGGACTGCTGGAGTCCAGGGGGCATCACCACTTGGGGCCTGCCATCATTGCTGAGGAGCCGTGGGGGTCTGGAGGAGTCCGCCATTCCTCGGGTTGCTCCGCTGTCATCCGGGGGCATCCTCAGGGTTTGGGGTCCTCCGCCTGAAGGCAGCTCTCATCATCCAGGATTCCAGACTCTGAGAGTCTCACTGCCTCTGGGGGTCTGCCAATGGTTGGGGGTCCGTGGCCACCTGTTGGGGTCCTCACATCGTGCGGGTGAATCAGGGTTCATTGATGACTTGGGGTTGCTGGTCCACCCTCCTATGAGGGTCCTTTGCAACCTGTAGTCAGTGGTCTGTCCTAGCTGGGGGTTTCCTGGTCTGCCTCAGGTGTTCTTGTGAGTGGATCAGGGGACCTCGGGGTGTTTTCTCCATGTTCTGTTTTCCAAGCACAGGCGTTCACCTACTCCTACGTGGGGATGAGGCCCCTGGTCTTCAGCTAATGGGCCAAGTCGGGGTTTTCACGTTTTTGGGTCTGGTGAACAGTAAGACCCTTCAGTTACTCACCTGAGCGGCGTGGTCACTTGCACAACCAGCGCTCTTTCAAGCGTACAGGCAGCACCGCCTTCCCTAGCCCATCAGGATTAACAAGAACCCATGCTGTGCTGGAGGAAAGAAAAGAGAGCTGCTAGTCAGCTCTCTTTCTAAGTCTATCATTCTGACAATCTGCCGGACTAAGTTGGTGCTGATCCTGGAGGTACTGCAATATCAGGCCAGGGTCGAGGAGAAAAGCAGCAGTTCTCTGTCTTTCCAGCAATTAAACTGATAAGAACAGATTGAATTTTATTAGTGGACGTTAAGAGTCATGAACCAAAAAGATGACAAAGCCAGAAGGAGTACCTGAGCAAGGGACTAACATAAGAGGGATGGGGGTGAGGCGGGGAATGCAATTAGGTTACAGAAAATACAGTGTTAGTCAACTAAGCCCAAGGGGTGGGGAAAAGGAAGGCTCCCCACTGCGGAGTCAAACTCAGTCTCCCACATGACAGGCAGGGATACTTA